GTTAATTAAAATCAGCAGGACTGCCATGAGGCAACCTCAAGTATCATACACTTCTGTTTTTGTCTTTTTCATTTTTCACGTGTTTCTCACAAGAAGTGAACTTCAGGGAATAAAAAGTGCTGGGAAGTAATTTTTGTTGGAACTTCTTGTGTAACATCTACTTTCGATGATGACCTCTAGGATGGCTGCATGAAGCTTGTTCCGCTTTAAATTTCAAGGTTAATCTATTGCTATATGCATTGGTGTTTCAATTTCAACCCTGAGTTGCAACTGAACTTAAATGAACAGTGTTGGATTTGAGCCTTCCATTTGCTTTAACTTCTACAGGGTTGAAATGATAGTTATCTTAAAGTACAAAAGCAGCAGACAAAAATCAATTAGCCACAATAGTGCATGGTTTCCTAGTTTCTCAGTATAAAGTGGAATGTTTTGGTGATATCTCTACATCCAAATTCATATAGACAGCTACTGTTGGCACTTGCAGTAGCCAATGAGCACTGTAGCGTATATATTGCAGCATGAGATAAGGTTAACTGATTGCATTTTCATAAAATTAAAAGGATTTCTCTTTTCTTTGTCAATTACAGTGCATGTATAAAGGTTTTCTTATTCAGAGTAAATGCTATTGTAATGTTTTCACAGAGTTCCTTTGGTTGGCAACTAATTCATTTATATATCTTGGAGCATAGCCATAGCCATAAATGGAAGGTTCTTCCAGTTCAAGAAAATTAACCATGAAGCTCGTAACTTGAATTTTAGACAGAAGGGTGGCCAAGTGAACTCCTATACCCTGTACCTCCGGAATAACACGGGGAAAGGAAGTAAAAATAGATGTGTGTGTTTTGATGCCATATATTACTTGACCGACACTTGCTTATATCATTATTTGTTTTTACATTTTTCTAATGATTCCTTTGTATACATTTCTGATATTGGTGTGGTGTATGAGTTCACGGTTCTTTCTCACTGCTGCTAACTTCTCTATACCTGCTTGTCATTAAAAATTAAATGTAATATTTTACATGTGCAGAATGGACACATTAAAGAGGCATCTTCCGTTTTCTGGTCAAGAGGGATTACAAGAACTCAAGAAAATTGCTGTACGTTTTGAGGAAAAGATTTATACTGCCGCCACCAATCAGGTATTCGACTAATGCTAGGTTCAATAATTTCAATATTCTCTAGACATGAATATACACATGCATAAGTTTGTTGATTTATACATGTACACATGTGTGTGTAGTTTGTCCACACTTCCTCACTGGTCATTCTGTAGAAGTTATCATCTTTTCGTTAATTCTCTTGACAAGTGTTTTATTTAGAGTGACCAAGGTCCTTTTCAAGTACAAGGGAAGTGTGCAAAATGCAAATAACGAATCAATACATAAATAATTAAATAAAAAGAGAGGACACAGAAGTATATCCTCACAGAAGATGCAAATACAGAAAGCCTAGCATATTAGAAAAAAGCATATATCCCTTTTCCCCCTTCTCTTGTAACATGGAGTGCGCAGAGATCTAATGTTTTGTTTTTGATATCTGATTTCAGTCTGATTATCTGCGTAAAATATCTCTGAAGATGCTTACAATGGAGACCAAGTCTCAAAATACCATATCCACTGGCAATGGTAACAAAACCCTGGATCCAGGAGGTAATAATGCAGCCAAGCATTGGATTTCTAAACATCCTTACTTTATGTTTTATATTTCACATTGTTATCAAACTCTTTTACATTTTATTGCTGCATATTGCTATATATATACCATGCTTTAATAAAAAAGTTGAGCAATTGATGAATGTTCAAAAAAATTACAGATTACTTTTGTTTTCTCTCCCCCCCCCCCCCCCCCCCAAAAAAAAAAAAAAAACCCCAAAATTGTCAAATGACACTTCTATGCTTTGAGGTAAAACCATCTTAATTATTTCCCTCATAACTTTAGGTGTGAACTGTCATTGTTTCATTTGTTTTTCTTGTTCAATGCCTTCTTTTTATCCTTTGACATGGTTTTCCTTTTTGCCTTTTATCTTGAACAGCATCTCATAGTATGCCGCCTCAAGTTCACAACCAGTCACACCCTAACTCATTGTCCGCTAATCAGTCTCAAGTGCGTCAGCAGTTATCACAGAACATGCAGAATAGTATGTCATCTAATGGAGTTCAAAGTTCTGCTGGTTTACAATCAGCAATGCCTTCTGTCCCCGGTTTAACCCAGACTATCCCAAACACTGTTGGACAAAATGCTAACATGCAGAGTATCTCTGGTGTTTCACAGAACCCAGTGGGGAATTCAATGGGACAAGGGATTCCCTCCAATATGTTTGTCAATTCTCAGAGACAAATGCCAGGCAGGCAACAGGTTATTCCTCCACAGCAGTCCCAAAACCCTCAGCAGTATCTTTATCAGCAGCACCAACAGCTTTTAAAGCAGAAGCTTCAACAGGGAAATCATCCACACTCACTTGTGCAATCTCACATCCAGCAGCAGCAGCAGCAGCAAAACTTGTTGCAGCCAAATCAGTTGCAATCTTCTCAGCAATCTAGTTTGCAAACATCAACTGTTATGCAGCCTTCAATGATGCAAACTGTCTCTGGCCTTCAACAGAACCAACCATCTTCTGTTCAACAGTCAACACAACCAATGCACCAGCAACATCCACAATCAGTCCTTAGGCAGCAGCAGCAGCAACCTCAACAGTCTGCTGGTATTCATCAGCAGCAAACACCAATGATGCAGCAGCCACTATTGCCTCCACAACAGCAGCTAATGGGGCAACAATCAAATACCACTAACATGTCGCAAAATCAGTTGATTGGACAACAAAACATTGTTGGGGACTTGCAGCAGCAGCAGCAGCAGCAGAGATTGCTAGGGCAGCAGAATAACCTTCAAAATCTGCAGCAGCAGCAGTTAATGGCTCAACAAAATAACCTCTCAAGCATGCATCAGCAACAGTTGGGCCCTCAAAGTAATGTCACTGGTTTACAGCAACAGCAGTTGCATGGAGCTCAGCCTGGTAACTCAAGCATGCAATCTAATCAGCACTCTCTACACATGCTGCAACAGCCCAAGGTTACGCTGCAGCAGCAAGCACAACAAAGTGGAAGTGCTTTGTTGCTGAATCAAGGGCAGCAGTCACACTCACAGCTGCCACAGCAGCAATTGATGGCACAGATTCAATCACAGCCTGGACAGCTGCAACAGCAATCAAATCCATTACAACGTGATATGCAGCAAAGGCTTCAAGCATCAGGCTCCTTGCTTCAACAGCCGAGTGTGATTGATCAGCAAAAGCAGTTATATCAACCTCAAAGAGCCCTTCCAGAAACGTCCTCAAGTAAGTTGTTCTCATCCTTGCAGCTTTCTAGCCTTGCTCCTACTTTAATTTGCAGCTTTGTGCTTTCATGTTAGATTATAACATATGTATTTAAATCTCTTGAAAATACAATAATGGTTCAAGTCAGGAATGCTCTTTTTGGTAGCTTTATGAGCTGCGGCTGCCACTTATGGAATCAGAAATGCCACTGCTATTGGAACCATTGCAATTGCACATACATTTGTTTGAATGATTACAAAACGTTATGGAGTTCCTAGCACTCCAAGTCCAAAAAGGAATTGTATTCCTATGTCAGAAAATACTAATGGTCCTATCTAGGATGGGGAAAACCTATTAAAGCTCCTTATTCTTTAGGAACAATAAAATACTAAATAGAAATAAAACCAAGACCTAAAATATTCCATAATTTTCAGCAAGTGTAAAAATTGCAGAAATACCCTTGTGTGTGGAAAACATTCAAAAAATACATGTATTCTAATCTTTTGTTGGCTGCATCAACATTTTTGTAGCATCCCTAGATTCTACAGCAGAGACTGGACATGCAAATGGAGCTGCTTGGCAAGAGGAGATCTCACAAAAGGTAATTTCTGTGGTTTACTGTTCATTATATGAAATTCATGTCATAGTCTTGCAAGATTTTAATGGAAAAGGTTTCCTGGAATTTGGTACAACGGAGTTATATTCAGCTATGGTTGGGATTAGTTAGGAAGCATTGTAAGTTCCATGATTGCAGCAACTAAGAAACGATAAATTACTGATAAGATGATTAAAGGTAAAATATTTAGATTTCTAGGTCGAGAGGGTTATTTTCTTGGTATTGAAATGACAATTTTTTCTATTGCAAATCTCTCTCTTTCAATTTTTTCCCTGTATTTCCATACATTTATTGTGTGATGAATTATTATTTTATTTTTTCCAACAAGTCCAATTGACAATACTTCTGACTGTAAGAGACAGGCTTGAAAACATGCGTGAATTGTTTCTGGATAGTCATTGTTATATTTGGTTAAGTGAACAGTTATTTTCAGGATTACAATCAAATTTGTTCTGAAACATGTGACAATGGAAGAAAGGAAAATAAGTGGACCTAATCCATTGAATCATGACCATGTCCAGTATCGTTGAATTTTATAGAAAACGAGGTTGAGATTCTGAATCGTTTAATGGCTGTAGTTGCAGTTCATAACTGCATATTTGATGAGGTCAATTTTTTTGTGCCTGGGAGGGTACTAAAACGGGAAGAGGAGTGGTTGTTGATAATTAGGATATAAGGGTAATAAATCCAAAGTTATAAAGCTAAGAAGTGTTTACCAAAGTTGTGACATCCATTGACTTGAGTTAGAACAATAGAAAAAAATGGTGAGTAGCTTGCCGTGAGACAAAGTAACTGAACTTGACCAACCCCTGAATCTTGCTGAAGGGGTAACTACACAATCCTTTGCATCTTTGCATGCAATCAATAACAATATTCTTTTTTGAGTTTTTGGCATTGATTCCACTCTGCTATTTTTATCTCAAACAATATATGCTGTCCTCTGCCATTTTATTTATTTATTTATTTTATCAATTCTCTCGAGTTTGCTTATGTTTCTTTCTGACTCTGGCACCTGAAGAAATCAAGCATATGATTGATAATGTTTTGCTGGTTATATGTACTTCTTAGATCAAAGTTATGAAGGAAACGTATTTGCCTGACATAAATGAAATGTACCAGAGAATTGCTACCAAGTTACAGCAGGTAAATTGTCTTTGTAATTTTTTCCGATTTATTTGCCTGCACATGATCAGCATTGCTTGTCACTGTATCATCTGCACTAATTACCTCCCCCACCCCCAACCACCCCACAACGATGCATTGACACAGAAGAATTGGAATAGAAACATTTTTTTCACTAATGTTTTACTAGTTTTGCTGCAAAGGGTCAATGCAATTTTTAATTCTCATGTATGTTAACTTTGCTTTCCAGCATGACCCTCTTCCGCAACAACCAAAGTCAGAACAGCTTGAAAAGCTGAAGGTATTCAAGGTCATGTTGGAGCGCGTGATAGCATTCTTACAGGTCTCTAAAAACAACATCACACTTAATTTCAAGGAGAAATTGGGTTTCTATGAGAAGCAGATTTTAGGTTTTCTAAACCCAAGCAGATACAGGAAGCCTGTTCCTAATCTACAGCAAGGACAACTTCCCCAACCTCATATTCAACCTATGCAGCAACCCCAATCTCAAGTTCCTCAATTGCAGTCCCATGAAAATCAACTGAATCCCCAGTTGCAATCAATGAATATGCAAGCTTCTGTACCAAAGATGCAGCAGAACAATATGTCAAGCTTGCTGCATAATTCTCTTTCATCTTTATCTGGGGATTCAACGTCACAATCAAACATGATGAATCCAATACAACCAGGCTCCAATTTAGATTCTGGACAGGGAAATGCACTGAGCTCATTGCAGCAGACACCTGTAGGATCTGTACAACAGAATCTCGTGAGCATTTCCCAACCAACCAATGTTAACACAATGTCAACACAAAGTGGGGTGAGCATGCTGCAGCCAAATATCCCCCTTCAGTCGAATTCCAATATGATTCAACACCAGCATCTAAAGCAGCAGCAGCATGATCAACAGATGCTACAAACACAGCAGCTTAAACGATTTCAGCAACGCCAGAATTTAATACAGAATCAACAGATGCTGCAGCAGCAGCAGCAGCAATTACACCAGCAAGCCAAGCAGCAGTTGCCTGCACAGATGCAGACACACCAAATTCCACAGCCGCAACAGATGAATGATATAAATGAGATGCGACAGGGGATTGGAATTAAGCCAGCAGTCTTCCAACAGCATCTCCCAACAGGTCAACGCACAGCTTTCCCACGTCAGCACATGAAACCAGCACCTTCATTTCCTATTTCTTCACCTCAACTACCTCAGCATGCTTCCCCTCAATTACAACATTCATCTCCTCAGATTGACCAGCAAAATCTACCATCTTCTGTAACCAAAACTGGAACACCTCTGCAATCTGCGAACTCGCCTTTTGTTGTCCCATCTCCTTCAACTCCTTTAGCTCCATCTCCTATGCCAGGAGATTCTGACAAACCAGTTTCTGGTATTTCCTCACTCGTAAACACTGGAAATATTGTACACCAACCATCTGTTGCACAAGCAGCGGCTCCATCCCTTGCAATTGGCACTCCTGGGATATCTGCATCACCTTTGCTTGCAGAGTTTACCAGTCCTGATGGTGCTCATGGTGGTGCTTTGACAACTGTTTCTGGCAAGTCAAATGTTACGGAGCAACCACTTGAGCGCTTGATTAAAGCGGTTAGTGATGCTCTCCTTTTGGTTTTACTCCACCCCACCCTTATTTGGGAGGTTTCTGGAAAAGAAAGAAACTTCTTGGTGAATGTGATGGTGATGCTGCAATTTTTTTTCCCAGGTGAAATCTCTGTCTCCCAAAGCACTTAGTGCATCTGTCGGTGACATTGGCTCCGTTGTCAGTATGATTGACAGAATTACTGGTTCTGCAGCTGGTAATGGATCTAAAGCTGCAGCTGGTGAGGATTTGGTAGCAATGACAAAATGTCGCCTTCAGGCAAGAAATTACATCACCCAAGATGGGATGACCGGATCAAGGAAAATGAGGCGCCATACAAGTGCCATGCCCTTGAATGTTGTATCATCAGCTGGCAGTGTAAGTGACAGTTTTAAGCAGTTTACTGGTCCAGAAACTTCTGATTTGGAGTCAACTGCAACATCAAGTGTCAAGAGGCCTAGAATTGAGGTATTAACCATCTCTCTGTGTTTTAGTCCGAAACTAATAACAATGTGTGTTATGTGTGCTCTTACCTCTATTCTATTTGAACTTCTGCTATTTGTTTTCTTATTGTTTCTAATTAATGCTGTTTGAAATTTGGATGTTTCTGCTCTTATTTCAGGCTACAACATTATCTTATTATGTTGAAATATATTGCTATGCAGTTCCATAGAATGCCATTATTTCTAAAGTTTTCCTTTTGCAATTTCCTCTCCCACGATTATATTTGCATGTTAAAAAAGAATAACATAAAAGGGGAAAAAAAAATTTGCAGTGCACAATAATTAGATGATGTATTTTTGCTAAAAATCTCTGTTGTGAGTGAATAGAGGAAGGCATTTTATCATGTAATAGGATATCCAGGAAATTACGCTTTAAAAGGATTTAGAATGCATTCTAAGTGCTGTGTGATTTACACCTGACTCTTGATAGGAAGGCTTATTTCAGCTTATTCTCGCTGGATGAATAATGTAGCTTTTTTTGCAGGCCAATCATGCCCTTTTGGAAGAGATAAGGGAAATAAATCAGCGACTTATAGACACGGTAGTTGATATTAGTGATGAAGATGTTGATTCAACTGCAGTAGCTGCTACTGCTGAAGGGGGTGAAGGAACCATTGTCAAATGCTCATTTAGCGCTGTGGCTCTTAGTCAAAATTTGAAATCACAGTATGCTTCAGCGCAAATGGTGTGCTTTCAAACCTGCTATCATGATTTTAATAAACTACTACCCATTTCTCTGTATTTATTTCGCTTTATTCACGTGCAGTCACCAATTCAGCCCCTCAGATTGCTTGTGCCTACAAATTATCCAAGTTGCTCACCTATACTGTTAGACAGGTTTCCAGTTGAAGTGAGGTAAAAAATGTGGCTATGCAGTTTATACATTTTGCGTGCTCTTGAAAGTCTACATAGAATTTGATGTTTCCATATGGGAATATTTTTTTTCCTGGGTTTCCTGGAGTTTGATCATTTGAGATCATTTTCATTGTCATGCTAGTAGGGTGACAATCCTTCTTTTGGATCAAGCCTATAGCTGGAATGATAAGCAAACCTGTAAACTGTTTTGATCTGCTCACTAGAAATGAACCCTTAATGATATCTGGTTTGCTTTGCTCAAAGTTTAGATGCAATGTTTCTTTTATTGATCTCTCTAAAGATTATGCTGATCCATAATCGGAGATAATCAACTTGATAGTTTGTCAAGAGTTTTTCCTTCACTTAGCAGCTTTTACGTTCTGATATCTAAATCTTACTCTTCTTTCCGCAATAATCCGGTTCTTATGCAACTCTTTCTAACAGTAAAGAGTACGAGGATCTGTCAATAAAAGCTAAATCCAGGTTCAGCATCTCTCTCCGAAGCCTTTCACAACCCATGTCACTTGGAGAGATAGCAAGGACTTGGGATGTCTGCGCCCGTGTGGTTATTTCAGAGCATGCCCAGCAGAGTGGCGGTGGCACCTTCAGCTCAAAATATGGTTCTTGGGAAAACTGCCTGAGTGCAGCTTGATCATCTTTAAAGCCGAGGAAGCTCTGAGCACGATTGTCTACTCAGGGCAGAGATGGAAGATGTCATGGGCTGCTTCTCCTGTGATGACCAAACGGGCTTTTTCGGATTCACTGGCAGGGATTTCTCAGAAGCACAAATCGTCTGAAGTTCACTTTCTGAAGAATTCAGGGTTCTCGTATCATAGAATAATCATATTTGTTGTTTGGTGAAACACAAAAATGTAATCTTCTGTTTGTATTATCGGAGGCGTTCTTGGCTACCGGCATCTGTGAAATAAAGCGAATTCCTCGTCTTCTGTTAAATATGACAAATACACGAAAGTTATAATATGGATACGATAATAAACAATCTACATGTGTTTTTGTTTTCAAGAACATCAAGGATTCCCTCGACAAGGCCCCTTCAAATCCTACACATGGTGCTGTGTGCAATTAATTCTTATACTCGTGTTCCTCCAACGAGGCTATTTCTAGTTTTTGCGTTTTAAAGTTTTGAAAAAATTTATGTATTTTTTCTTTACATTAATTTTTTTTTGTTATTTTAAATTTGATATCAAAAATAATTTTTTAAAAATAAAAAATATTGTTTTAATATATTTCCAAACTAAAAGTATTCTGAATAATTTTTAAAATCATCTAGTAATTTTATTTTGTGAGTGTGTTTTTATAACTTTCTTTAATATCATCTAGTAACTCTTCTTAAGGAGTGTGTTCAGAAATGCGATGTGTGTTTCTTTTAATTTTAAATTTTGGTTTTCGTTTAAAATAAAAAAAAAAGTTTAAAATTATTTTTTAAACCATCACTACTTATCACCGCTGCAATTTCAAAAACATATCCTACTAGTGGACCTCTATTGTAAAATCGTGCCTGGATCACATTCTCTAGATGGGTGGAACCATTGACTCGATGATCATTTCTTCATCTGCTTGTAATTTGTGTCAGGTTCAATTTGTAAAATGATGTCGTTTTTACAATTTGAATGAAAGCCTTGGAAGTCTTTTGGAAGCTTAGAGATAAAATTGATAAAAACTATATTGATGGTGAGACTGAGACACCACCTGAAGATCTTTTTGAGATTTGTGAAAAAAATATATATTAAATTCAGAATCAGCGCTTTTGTAATATAAAATGTAAGCCAAATCGAAATTGAATTTGATTGATTACGTGTTACAATTGATGTAATGTCACTTTTTTTTCCCCTTATTTGTTTTGTTTATGATAAATGAAATATGTTATTAAATATTTTGTATATTTTTTTAAAAATTATTTGAAGATTAAATATTTAATTTTTATTATATTTTTAATATTTATAGTCTTATATAATATTATTTTATTTTATTCAATTAATTTTGTGTATCACTATCACAAATTAATTTTAATAAATAAATTCATTAAATATAATTAATGCTTTTATTTTGCTTTTTTTCATGATTATATATATATATATATATATTGTTTTTTATTATTTTTTTAATATAATTCAAATAAAATTTAATTTATTTAAATGATAAATTATAAAAAAATTAAAAAAATGCATGAAAAATATTTTTGAGGAAAAATATCACGACACGTGCCATCTGTCTAGTTGAACAACCATAATTAAAGTCGGTGATGCGTGTAAGATGGCGTTTTCAAGAGAGGGACTTTGACAAGTGGGCGAAGCTGCCATGGGTCTCTCTCCACAGCCTCCTGCAACTGCTGTAACAGCAGCAGCCACAATCACTCTCCACATCACACATACACACACACAAACACAACAAGTCCACAACAATCCAAACCCTAATTTCCAAATAAAAAGCAGATATCCAATACTCTTTTTTTTAATTGTTACATTAAAAAGTAATTTCAAAACAATTTTCATATTAATTTAGACTGATTTCTTCCCCCAATATCATATAACATGGTATATTTAATTTCTAGATACTAGCTTGTCAAGAAGATAGTCTTTTTCTTTGTTTATAAAAATAGTTTAGGGAGGTAAGAAGAATTTATACGTAAATGAAAACTAAATCCAAGCATTATAGTTTAAACCCGAAAAAAAATACAGAGAAGTGAGAAATAACGCCAGAACCACCGGCAAACTCCTTGGATTGTAGCTGCCTTATACTGTGGACTAGTAGATAGCGTGGAAATAGTTGCAGTGTAGTAGAGTGATAGAGAGAGAGAGAGAATGGCAAACTTAGTGGTGAAAGGAGGAAGCAGACCTCCATGGGTGGGATTAGCAGCAGCATTATGGGTTGAGATAGCGGCGGGGAATGCATACAACTTCCCACTCTACTCTCCTGCTCTCAAATCAGTAATGGGACTCAATCAGCAGCAGCTAACAATGTTGGGTGTGGCCAATGATATTGGAGAGAATGTGGGATTGCTCCCTGGCATGGCCTGCAACAAGTTCCCTCCCTGGGCTGTCCTCGCTGTTGGTGTTCTTGCTTGTTTCTTGGGCTACGGTGTTCTTTGGCTTGTTGTTAGCCAGACTGTCAAGCCCTTACCTTACTGGCTGGTCAGACATCATCAACTTGTTTCTTTTTATTACATACTTTGATGGTTGCCCTGCTTGCTAGTAGGTAGTTCTTGGCGAGGTAGATTTTGAAAGAATTCGACTCTCTATGGAATTGTATTTGCTTTTGTATCATTGCTTTGTCATGGGGTTTGATGTGTTTCCAATCTTGGTTGATCAAATCAGAGGCTTGATTGCCTCTTGCTTCATCAGTTTGGTTGATCAGGCTTTGGTGAACCATTATTATATAGAATTAATGACTTGGAACTAGTGATTCTACTCTCTTTTTTCCTCCTGAGGAAGGAATGATAGATAGATTTTATTTAGTTATAAGATGGATTTCCATTATGGATTTATATCCTCTGATGCTTGCAAAGCCTGTGTCAATGCAATTTTTTTAATTGGACACCCCCCTCCCTTTTCTCTTTTTTGCCTATATAAATGGTTGATGGCAAGTCTTACTTCTCTGTAAAAGTTATAGCTTAGTTGATTTGGGGGAAGTTTGAAGTTTGAGCTCAATGAATGCAATTGATCCGATTAAGGAATCATTTAACTTGCTCATACTAAAGCTCCCTTAAATGCTGTAATACTGCACTCTCTTCTGTTGAAACTCAATCTGGGAGTGCTCCATGATTTAAACTGTTCCCCTGCTGCCTTTCTTTTCCCTTTAAAACAATTCATATAATATTTCCAGTGTTTCAAGCACTGGATCTTCCTCATTCAGAGTATTGAAGCTAGAATTTGTACCTCAAGGTTTCATCTTTCATGACTGGAAAACTCTGGCTAAATTATTTTGATCCAGTCTATCAAGATGGCGCTACATGTTTGGATGGAACAAACTTATTGTTTGAGTGGTTGTCATTATACTTTCCTGTTGGAAAGGTTGGGTGTACGTTTTGAAGCATCTTTGAATGGCCAGAATCCAAATAATATACAGAGGGTTGTGTAGGCCTGATGGAAGGTGAAAACAATGTTTGGTAAATAAAGATACATGTTTTTAGCTAGCATTGGGGATACCTAGAACCCAAAATTTTTACACATAGAGATTCTAATACAATGTTAAACTAATCATTGCTTTCTAGATAACTTATTTGTGTCTGTGCTGGTTGTCATGTTACTGAGATTTTGAGAAGTTTGGTTGGAGCTATCCAATTTCCAGCTGAAGCAAAAGTGTGACCTGTCATGAAAACATTAAAGTATGCTTTCCTTTTTGTTGCTATTGCAGTTATGGCTTGCACTTGTTATTGCCACAAATAGCAATGCATGGTTTGGCACAGCTGTGGTTGTGACCAACATGAGAAACTTCCCTCTCAGCAGGGGCACTGTTTCTGGCATTCTCAAAGGTTACGCTGGGATCTCAGCTGCAGTATACACAGTGTTATATAGCCTGGTGCTTAGAGGCTCTGCTTCAAATCTCCTGCTCTTTCTTACACTTGTCATTCCCATTTTGTGTTTAGCTATGATGTACTTTATCCGGCCATGTACTCCAGCTTCTGGAGAAGACTCTTCAGAGCATGTCCATTTTCTCTTCACCCAAGCTGCAGTTATTCTACTTGCCGTTTATCTCCTCGTAACCACTATAATAAGGACTGTGGTTTCTCTTAGTGATGCTGTTTCCTACATTTTAGCGGCAATCGTGGTTATCTTTTTGATATCTCCTCTTGCAATTCCTGTCAAAATGACCATTTTTCCTTCAAGGCCCAAGAAAAACCGGCCATCTGATTCTTCAGATCATTCGGTGTTGGGGGGAGGTGAAACAACTCCAACAGATCCTTTGTTGACACCATCTTCATCTGCAACATCTCTAGGAAGTTTTTATGAGAATGATGATGCTTCAGATGTGGAAATACTTCTTGCTATGGGAGAGGGAGCAGTGAAGAAGAAAAGGAGGCCCAAGAGAGGTGAGGATTTCAAAATTCGCGAGGCTCTTATCAAGGCAGATTTTTGGCTTCTTTGGGTGGTATACTTTCTTGGGGTTGGTTCTGGAGTTACTATTCTCAATAATTTGGCTCAAATTGGGGCTGCTTTTGGTCTTGAGGATACAACAATATTGCTTGCTCTCTTCAGCTTTTGCAATTTTGTTGGCCGCATTGGCTCGGGTGCTGTTTCAGAACATTTTGTCAGGTTATTACTCGTTCACTTAATATCAGATATTAAGTTGGGAATTGAAATCTTTTCATTTAAAGAAGCACAATGATTGATCTTTTTAGGCATTCATTCCTAATGAAGCAATGCCAGTTTTCTTTTATCATTTGACTGGACAAGCTTTTTCTGGACAATTCTTGGTTGTTTCATTGACGTGCAATTTCATTCTATTCTGTTCCTCCCCTGCCTTCTCAATTTTCTCTCTATATTTACTAGTTTATGGCCTAAAATCTCCTAGTTCTGAATTTCAGGATTTTCTTGTTTATATGACGAAATCACACTTTATTGCAGGTCAAGAACAATTCCTAGAACCTTGTTGATGACATGTGCACATATAATTATGGCCGTAACGTTCATTCCTTTTGCATTTGCACTTGATGGTATTCTTTACACTGCAATTGCTCTTCTTGGCATCTCTTATGGGATTCTGTATGCTGTAATGGTGCCAACTGCCTCTGAACTTTTTGGCTTGAGACATTTTGGTTTGATATACAACTTTATGCTGCTAGGCAATCCTGTTGGTGCGCTACTTTTCTCAGGTATTCTTGCCGGTTATGTATACGACGCAGAAACTGCCAGACAAGGAAGCTCTACTTGTTTAGGTCCTGATTGCTTCAAGGTAACATTCCTGGCTCTAGCTGGCTTCTGTGGACTGGGAACCGTCATGAGCATAATCTTAACAGTTAGAATATGGCCAGTTTACCAAATGCTTTATTCAGGGGGTTCTTACCATCTGCCTCAGAATTTAGGCCATTGATGAGTGGCAACTTTTAGTTGTAACCTCAAAAACGTGGCGGGACACCCCTTCTTCTGCAAAGGACTGCTCCATCGGAGTCTTGTAGTGTGCTAAATAATGGCTTCGATTGGTTATGTAATTCTTCCTCTGCTTTTTGTAAATCACAAGGTATCTCGCATTCTACTAGGGAAGAGATGAGAAAAATGATAAATCCTATAGGTTGATTTCCATCCCCCATAACCATGTGCCACAACTGTACTCGAATGGTTTGATAATCATAGTCAGTGATGACATTGCTGTTTCCATAGCAATTACGGAACTATACTTGTCTTGCATAAATAAATCCAAGGGCCAGATCGTTTTGTATTTCTAAATCCGAAGCTCTTTCCTTCATCTCTTATGGTAACTCTCCACGAGAAGAACCACCACGACTGCAAGCGGTGACTGCATGAGTTCAAGGGGCGGAGCACGGTCTGCCGTAACTGGCATCTCCAGCTGGTAGAAGGTTCCTTTCCCCAAGATCAATGAAGAAGGGAAAAAGGCGATGGGAGTTCATTCTTCTTCCTTCCATCTAACAGGAGCTCCCAACTGCTTGAAGCTCTGTGATCCAAACTTTCTTCCTCAACCTCTAGAAAATCACCTCTCATGGTTTCTTCATGCAAGGCATCACGCCATGCCTTCCTCGTCGAGGACCCAATAACACTACCATGCCTTGTTTAAAGCATGTTTGGCAACACCATACAAACTGCATTTCTTCAATTTATATAAAAAAAATTGTTAATTTTTTATATATATATTTTTAGGTTATTTTGATATATTATATTGAAAATAATTTTAAAAAATAAAAAAATAATATTTTAATATATTTCTAAATAAAAAATATTTATTTTAAAAAAACGCATTGAAAAAATTTAAATATAATTTATTTTAGAAAAACAAAATCTAACACCCTATAGAGTTGAAATATGCCAAAAAAAAATATAAATATAATTATCTAGTGTCCCGCCTCCTTTCATCAGTTCATGGATGAAAGTGCTTGAGCTCTATGCAAGAAGAATGAGGGCATGCATATACGTCAGTCCCTTCCAGTTTAAGATTGGTCAGATGAGAGCGAAGTAGAAAGTAACTAGTAAAAATGCCAAATATAGTTGTGAAAGAAGGGAGGAGACCACCCTGGGTGGGCTTGGCAGCAGCAGTATGGGTTTTGATAGCGGCTGGGAATGGCTACAACTTCCCACTATACTCTCCTTCACTGAAATCAGTGTTGGGTTTTAACCAGCAGCAAATAACAATCTTGGGGGTGGCTAACGATTTTGGAGAGAGTGTAGTTTAGCTCCCCGGCATTGCCTGCAACAAGTTCCCTCCATGGGCTCTGGCTTGCAATCACCCAGATTGTTTCTGGCCTGTCCTACTGGGTGGTAAGTGATCAACTCTTTCCTTTTTCTAGTTGCTTAGTTGCATTTAAGTGGATTTGCAGATTGGAGTTTTTTTCCCCCCTACACTGCACAAAACATATAATCTTGATTGCCTGGGATTTAGAGCTTGATGGGTTTTCCAAATTTGATCACTGAAATTGCAGGGTGATGACTGCTTAATATCTGTCTCTTTTCTACTATTCTTTATCACTGCCTATTTATTTGTTTGTTTGTTGTCTTTCTTTTCTGGGCTGCCCATTTAAGATTGATTAACATGGATAGTTTTCCAGACAAGACTAGGGTTTTGCTTTTGTGTTTGATTGGAGTTTCTCGAGAATCATACCATGGGGTCCAGTTCCATGATTTTTGAAACCCATGATAACTTGGTTTAATATTTGAGCTTGGAAGGAGGCAGCCACTCCATCCAAAAAAAATGCTGAAGCATAGGACTGCCTCATATTCTCCCTCTTAGATGAGCGATTCTAATGTTTCATTTTTCTTCTGAAATAGTGAGTGTGACCATCCTCTTTTTTCACCTATCTAAGTGGTGTGGGATTTTGGTAAATTCATTCATGATTATCGTCACAACTTTCTCTATATTTTATCTAGATGTTTGAGAAGAATGAGAAATTAGGAAATGTAGTTACCCAGATGAAATGGCAATAAATGCACTGTTCTCTTTCCGGGGCTTGTCTTACTCCACAGAAGGAATGGTTTCCCAGATTTAGGCTAGATTGTAATCTCTCTTGCTGTAAGTCTTCTTCCTTATTAAGGACTCGTACACTTCAGTGTCCACACTAAATGCAGTGTCTTTAAAAGCAAATCGTTCACACATATTCCACAACATATACCATTTCTTCCTCGGAATTTTGAAGGAAAACTAAAAAGAGAAGAAGATTGCACATTTGTTACCCAACATTTGATTGGTTTTCTGTTCAAGTACTCAACATTCAGTCTCACCTTTCTGGGTTGCTTAACGTTGTTTTTTTCCTAATGTGGTACCTATGGTGAGTTTCATCACTTGAGTGATGACAATAAAGTGGGCTTAGATTGGAAAAAGAGAACAAACATATCTAGCACCTTTTGTTAAATTTCTAATTCAGCACCCCATCTCAACATCTATTTGAGTTTCTAGACTTGTTTTTTTTTTTTTTAAACGTGTCATTCTTTGTAACCAATGCTAGAAAAAGGATGATAAGGAACACTACCATGCAGAAAAAATGGGTTCGAATTAAAAAATAATAATAATAATCATCTTCACATTTCGTAATCTAGACCCTTTTTTTAACCACGTGACACAAGATAGCGGTTGTATCGTTACTTTTCTAAGTGTGTAATTAGCTTTGTTGTTGCGGTTTAAAAGAGTAGGTTAAAAAAAAAAGAAGTGGAATCTATGCAAAACTTTGGTGTGTTAATTAATCAAACACTTTCAAGGCTATGGTTAGGGCAAAACGCAATTTCAATCACACCCCACCACATTAACGAACAAACCCTAATTGCCATGCAGAATGTCATATAAAAAAAATGAAGTGCTAAGAAACTCAAATAGAATTAAGGGTGGAAAAGTCATATACAAATTCAATAGAAGTTAGATACTTTAATATGCATTTTTTTTCTTTCCAATCTAGACTCACATTTTTTTCCATGTAACAAGTGATCATGGCCACAAGATCAGCTAATGAAACCCAATATAAAAGTAATATAAGAGTATCATGTCAGGAAAATAACAATACTCACACAACATTCTCACATGGAGATGATCACAAAAAGTATAAAATCACAATAAAAATTGATCAATTCTTTAAAGAGTATAGTTCAATCAAGAATCAAGCAAGAAAGATCCCTATTTTCTATGCTTCAATATGCGGCAACTTTATGTGAATTAAATCTGAAACGTAAGTCTTTCCAAAGAGTATTTATACTCTTGAAAATAAACTCTTAAGAATGGGTTCACTTGCTCCAATTTGAAACTAGCCCAAAGTAACCCAAAAACTAACTAATTAACTGGAAAATAATAAAATGAATATTCTGAAATTTTTATTTTATGGTGCCGCCACCTTTAGTGCTCATGGTAGAGTAGGATTTTTCCCTCAAATCAAATCTCCCTGATAGAGTAGACTTTCTTTTCCTAAATAATTCATGATTTCCATGTTGAATTAGGAAACACAAAATACTCGACAAAATAAGCCCTGTGATGCCGAAATTACTTCCCTGGCTGAAATCCATGGTCCTTAAACCCATCTTGAATATAAATCAAATTTAATAGGCTTGTTCTTCTTGGGTTGTTGCTCTTTTGTAGTTCACCTCGGCCCATATGTCATGCAAAAGCTCACTAAAGGCTTCCTTGTACTTCTTTGCTCTAGCTCTAGTGATTGGGTCTACTGGAATGACTAATAGATCTTTGGTATGGGTTGGATCGTATTGGTCCGTGCTAATTTTGAGAAGTTTACTTGGCTTTACAGTTTCCCACGTTACTCTGAAAGCATTGTTGAAACCTGTAGTGGGCTCAGATTCGTGACCCATTCTTGCAATGATATGGGCTGCACTTGTTATCGCCACTAATAGCACTACATGGTTTGGCACAGCTGTGCTTGTAACCAACATGAGGAACTTCCCTTCCAGTAGAGGCAATGTTTCAGGAATTCTCAAAGGTTATGGGGGGATTGCAGCTGCTGGATATACTTTGATATACAAACTGGTGCTTAAAGATTCGGATTCAAAGCTTCTGCTAATTCTTACACTTGGTATTCCCATTTTATGTTTAGCAATGAGCTTCTGGAGAAGATTCTTCAGAGCATGTCCATTTTGTTTTCAGTCAAGCTGCAAGTGTTTTGCTTGCCCTTTATCTTCTCATAACCACAATAATACATAATGTGGTTTCTCTAAGTGATAATGTTTCTTGCATCTTAGTTTAGTTTTGATAATGGCTATTGTTCTGATGTCCCCTCTTGCAATGCCGGTCAAAATGACCCTTTTCCCCTGCAAAACAGTAGAGACATGTCCCACCAACTGATTCTTCAGATCATTTGATCTGAAGGTGAATCAACCCCAACTGGTTCTTTGTTGACACCATTGGAAGTTTTTTGAGAATTGAGGATGCTTTGGATGTGGACATGCTTCTTGCCGTGGGTGAGGGAGCAGTGGAGAAGAAAAGGGGGCCCAGTGGAGGTGAAGATTTCAAAATTCGTGAGGCTCTTATCAGAGCTGATTTCTGGCTTCTGAGTTGTGAACTTTCTTGGGGTTGATCCTGGAGTTACTGTTCTCAATAATTTGGCTCAAATTGGTGTTGCATTTGGACTTGAAGACACAACAATATTGCTTACTCTCTTCAGCTTTTGCAGTTTTGTTGGCCGTCTTGGCTCAGGTCATTACTTGTTGCTAACATAAAGTACCAATTTAGAATGTGAAAGTCCTATTTCTTTTGAAGAAGCACACGCTTGATACTATCATTAGGCATTCCTAGCGTGATTTTCCCTGGACACTTTAGCAATTCAATTTTCCTAAAAGTTCTTGATTTTTGCAATATGAGGACTTCATTCTGTTCCTAACTTGGTTGGCTTCTTAATTTGTTTTCTTAATATTCCTGGTTTATGCTCTATATTCCTACAGTTATCATATCAGATGGATTTTTAAACTATCATTTTGGAAGTGGTTTTTTTTTTTTTTTTGCTAATAAGGGAATGACGGTGAATGTGATAAGATCTTGTTGCAGGTCAAAAATGATCCCTCGAACCTTGTGGATGACATTAGCACCAGCGGTCATGCTCATAACCTTCATTCTTTTTTCTTCGGCTCTTAATGGAATTCTTTATGCTGCAATTCCTCTTCTTGGCATCTGCTACGGGATTTTGTATGCTGTAATGGTGCCAACTGCTTCCGAGCTTTTTGGCTTGAAACATTTGATTTGATTTACAGCTTTATGGGGCTAGTCAATCCCATTGGTGCACTTCTTGTCTCAGGTTTGCTTGCTGGTTATGCATATGATGCTGAAGCTGCTAAGCAAGATAGCTCTGCTTGTGTTGGTCATGATTGCTTCGAGGTAACATTCCTGGTTCGTCTGTGGGTTGGGGAAAATCTTGAGCATAATTTTGACAGTTAGAATTCGGCCAGTTTACCACCTACTTTATTCAGGGCTCTTTCCGTCTGCCTCAAACACCCGGCCATTGACCAGTGGAGATTACTATTATGGTCTAATGAAGTTGAGTTCCTTTTTAGCAGAGGCATGCTTCATTGTCGTACAGCGTCTGTCTTTTGCTAGATGCTGCAATTACTAAGGTGCTATATTTTGTTTGTCATCGGCAGCTCAATGGCGGTATCTTTGTTGTAGTCATACTGTTGGAGGAAGGCACATCCAAGTTGTACCACCTTTTGAGGGAGGTTATTGAAATGCTATCTCAACACAAATCAGGATTGCGTAGGGGAAATCATCTTGGAATTGTTTCAACATTTTTTTTTCCCATACATCATTGTGCAGGTGCCTATTATTTATGTTTCTTAAAAAAAAATTCTTGGGGTAGGAAGGGCTGTATCTGTGTTCAAGATCAGCTCCCTCTTCCTTGCTTTGCAGCTCTAATCTGCACGCACTTTGCCTTGTCTCTATACACCTCTTTATTGCCAGCTGCTTTGATCTGTTGCCACTTCCACGAGGAAGTGATTAATGTAGCCAACTGAGTGTAAACATGAATTTACCAAAGGAAATCTTAAGATATAGAAGAGTAAAATCGATCCACAAGATTGAATCTTATCATATTCTTTACCAAAAAGACAATATGGCTGGACTTGTTCCTGCACAGAATCTTCTTCACTACATGTCCTAAAACAATCAATCCGGTAACAGGCATTAAAGCTGCTAATGCTTTCCTATGCCTGCAAGCACGCAAGCAAGGGAGGCCATCTCATACTAAAACAGACCCTGGTGCCAAATTGTGTCCCCATCTCACCCACCCACCAATAATGAAAACAAGATCAAAATGTTACTACCAAACTAGACTCGAGACTCTATGGTGGAAGAGCACAAAAAAAGCCATCTCTCACCGCTTAAACTGAAATCAAGAAGGAAAAAACAAAATAAAACAAAAACAATTCATGTTGGTTTCAAATTCTGGAACATGGTATCCCACCTGAACTCTTCAACACCAGTTGTCCAATACCCTTCGTCATCGTCCTCTAACTTCTCCTCTTTGTTGAGACCACAAATCACAGGACTTGAAAAACTATCAAGGGCTGGCGCAGCAGAAATCATAGGAGTGTTTGAAAAACTACCATTTGTAAGCAACAACCTGCTTTGTTTAGCCATCATCAACTTCTTGTTCCTCTTCAACATGGCTCCTCTCCATCTGGTTCCGTAACCAGGCCTTGGAACAAGAACAAGAGCCGACTCCTCACGGTGAACCCATGTCCTTACGTACTTAGCTAGAGACCTCTTTGTTCTCTTGATTGCAACAAGAACCCTTGCCATGGCACGTGAGCTCGCTCCCTTCTCCTTTCTTGCAAGCTTGAGGATCTCGAGCCTGTGTTTGGCTATTGACACCCCCATGCTTTGAAGAAATTCATGGTTAAAGTAAGCTATGTCTTCTTCTTCAAGCTCATTGTGAGCGAAGGCAAGGCCGTATTCATACACAAGTGAAGGCTCCAGACCAGTTTTCGATAGCCACGAGAACCAATCCATAGCTTTTGTGTGCTTCAATGTCTTCGAGAAGTGTGTGCGTGTATATAATGTAGTGGAGAGGCAATTGCAAAACAAGAAGAAAAGGTGGAGTTGCTAGTAGCCTTGGACTTTTATTCAAGAGCTTAGCTTTTTTATTTTTTTTTCTTTCACAAATTGTTATGGTGGTTGAATCTCGAGAGTGACTTAAAGAGAAAGATATTAAAGGGAGGTGGGGAGGGTTTCCATGGCCGTGTTCCCTCCAAATATGCGGCCAAATTGCCATCAAGCTCTCGAGGAGTGAAGCCTCAGGATTCCATGTGGAGATGGTAATGCCATCAATCACGGCATGGGAAAAGGCTAATGTGTAGGGACACAACAGCACTTGTCTTCGAGTGTTTGAAGTGTGGCTAAGGACTAAGGGAGGAAAGTGGCAAGTGGGAGTGCATCTTCAAACACGGCATCTCCTTGGGAAAAAGAAAGATGGGACTTCTTTTCGATAGAATAAGAGCAATCAAATTCTCTTCATTGCTACCAAGGGATTTGAACCAATCTCAATGATGGGAATTTCTGTAAGCAATCAACCAAATTCATCACCAATTTTAGTTAAACATCTAATCATGTACAACTTGTTTCTTCTGAGTAATATACATCGTTGGAAGATATTAGGTAGATTTATATTTTTAATTATAAGATGCATATTAAAGGGACTCATTTATCTTTATAAAAGTAGTGTGGTTGTTAAAACCTTTTATCTGCGTAGCAAAATACCTCCTTACACTTGGGGTTTTGTTTTTTTATATCTTAGACTTGAGGGTATTTTTGTAGTTTCCCTATTTCTCCATTTATATTGAGAAAAATGAGGGGTAGTTTTGTCTTTTAATTAATTAAAAGTGTTTTAAGAAAATCTCATTAATGTGTATAGAGCATGTGTCGGCCGTTCCGTTATCTTTGAATGATGCACATGGCTAATTCTAGTAATAAAAAACACCGTTCTAGAATATCTTTAGATACATTTTAATATCTCCTCCATATCACAATGCCGTATGTGCAAAACAGATCTCTATTTTCGCTCTGACAACTATTATTTTTTTCTTTTTTCTTTCCCCTCTCTCTTCCTTGATTTTAGACCTCACCCTGCAATATTTCAAATCATCCCCTCAACTTTTTTTTATTTACTTACTTCTTAATATTTTGATTAATATTTGAAATAACTTATAAAAATTAATTTTTTTTCAATTTCATCTTATTTAAATTTTTTATATGTCAGATCTAGTTCCCTTTTTTTTAATTTTATTTATGTCATATGAGAAATTTTTTTATAATTTTTTTTTGTTAATTTCACCCTTGATTTTTTTCTTATCAAGTTTTATCCTTATTTATTTTATTTCTATTTTTTGGTTTTGTCAAATTTTTTAGTTTAGTATTTTTTAATACTTAATTTTATATTTTAATATTTAGTTAGTCTGAATTTGAGCTTCTTGGTTAAGCTAATATTTAGAATTTTTCAATTAGTAATTTAAGAAATTAACTCAAGATATTCATTAAAAATATTTATTTTACTGGAGATTAGGTTTTGTGTTTTTTATATGCTTTCTACTTTTTTTGTTATTAGGTTATCTTAGGTCGTTTTACCTTTTGTTCTTTGTTAAATATTTTTTTTCAAAATAAATTTTATTCTTGATTTAAATAAAATTAATTAATTAAATATAAACAAATATTCATATAACTCATTTCAATGTTATCTTGCATCCTCTTGCAATGAGATTTAAATTATCTCAGCAAATTCTTTTGTTTATGGACGATATTCATGGTAGAATAGCAGTAAATATTTAATAATTTTTTTTATAGGTGTGATATTAATAATTTATTTTTTAGTTAATTATTGCCAAAAAAATTTATAATTTATTTATTATTGTTGTTTTTAATTTAAATCAAATTATTAAATTAAATAATTTTATTAAATATACTCCAATTAACAACCCAAGTGTTAAGTTTTTATACTTCTTTGAAAACACTATCATCATTTAATTTTCTTTTGTAAAATTAATAATTATAACTAGTTTTCAAACTTCTATTTGCTCAGAGACAAGTGGATAATCAAGCCTGCAGCATCTTTATTGACGTGACACCTAACCAACTATAACCATCTATGCCCTCTACCATTTACTTTCTAACTTTTATTTCAACGTAAGCTTTTTGTTAATGGAATCCACAACATAATATTATTTGGTTACTATTATAAAAAAAAATATAATAAAAATAAAAATAAAATTATTTTTAAGATAAGTTTAAAATAAATTTCTGTATTTTCAAAACAGAAAATACATATAAGATATTTTTAAAAAAATAATATTTTTTATTTTTTATTTCAAAAACATCTATGTAAAAAACTCTCAATTATATAATTTTTCTATTAAAATATAAAATGATAAAAATATAATTATTGTAGTTTTAAAACCTAATTTATTAGTTGATTCTAAATAAAATTTGGGTCACTAATCGAGGCCTGAGTTATCGGGTGGATTGCTATAAGTTGATCCAAGTCAGTGTAAGAATAAAAATAATTATTATTATAATTTCAAAACTTGATTCAGTGATCGACTCAGGGCAAGGTTCAAGTTACTAGTTGAGGCTCGGGTTGACCCAAGTCATTTTAAGAATAAAAATGGTTATTAATATAGTTTTTAAAACTTAATTTGAAGGTCACCAGAGCAAGATTTAGGTCATAAGTGGGGTTGATCATTGACCCAAATAAACATAAGAAAAAAATTGGTTATTATCATAGTTTTAAAACCTAACTTAAGGATTGATCTGAGGTAAAACCTAGATCACATCTCGAGAAGGTCAATCCTACTCAACATAAAATAAAAATAATAATTATTATAGTTTTAAAACTTAATTTAAGGTCAACCTGGGAAAAGGATCGAGTCACGAATCAGGAGAGTCATCCTGAGTTAACTTAGGTCAATATAAGGATAAAAGTTGTTATTATCATAGTTTTAAAACCTAACTTGAGAGTTCACTAGAGTAAGGTCTAGGTCCCAGTTCGGGAGGGTTAATATAAGTTGATCTAAGTTAATGTATGAATAAAAATAATTATTATCATAGTTTTAAAACCTAACTAAG